GGGTAGGTGTAAACAACAGGCAAGCTGGGGAACTAGAAAAGCATGGGTCTCACCTGAAGGCATTCAAACTCCTTAATGACAAATGAAGTTATCAATCCAATGGAACGCAAGTATCATATGCTATGATTATGTCTACATACCTCACTCCCTGAACTATGCTTACAGATTACAATGGAGAGGGAAGCTTGCTGGCTGTCCAAAAGCAATGTGAGTCACCTGGGAACCTCCTCCATCATCTTATGCCCCATGTGGTAAAATTCCCCAATTCCCCACTGCCACAAGGTTTTGCTAATGAATACTCTAAAACTACAAGCTCATGTTTTTACTTGGATGAATATTAGAAAGGAAAACAAAACACATATAATAAGAACACAGCATTGTGTCTACATAAGCATGACACATATGAACAAATATACATACATATATACATATATAAAATATGGTGTCTGTATCACTCTCTTTGTTAAAAGAAGGAATTAAATCTTGAATGTATTAAATAGCAAATGGCAAGGTACAAAGTGGTTTCTCCATGTGTGTCTCCACCTGGTTTGTGTCTTTCCCTTTTCTGCGTATAGTTTCTCCTGCTGTGTAGCAGAGACTATACACTGAATCCAGAGCACACTTTAAAACAACTTTCCTTCAGGGCCTTGAAAAAACAAGATTTATAAATAAAAAACTTTGACAAACAAATCTTTAATCCTCATCTTCCCAGCTTTGCCTTCTATTATTGTAGGTAGCTGATATGTGTGAAAACACTTCTCAGTTTCAATTTAGCTAAACCTTTGACTCACAGGGAACAGCTTTTTAAATTGTTCATACAATTCTTATCAATCAGCTAGGTCTATGTAATGGAAATAGGAATACGGAAACCCAGTCACGCCCTCTGTGAAAAATCTCCATGTCACTCTGATCAGAGGAAGATCAGACCCAGAAAGTCTTTTTACCACATTTCCACCATTTCCTGGCTGTTTCATTTTAATCACAGTGTTGTTGAGCTGATCTACAACTTGAAGAGTTTTCTGGGCAAAGGTGGGTATTACAGCTGCATGTCCTAGGGGAGCCTGTGGCAGATAGTCCATCATTAGAAACTGATGTCAGCACTCTATTTGCACACAGTGAGATGGGCTTCCTTGGCAAGCTAGTCAATCAGAACCACTATCATAGCAGTAGGCTAGAGTCCAGGCATACATTTTGAGGACTGAATCTCAGTATTTTTTAAAAATCAGTCTTATTCTTTGTTAAAAGAATGGTATCAGAGTTCACCTTACCAAGAGAAATGAGGAAAACTAAAAATGAGCAGAAAGGACCCCATAAAACGACCCAGGCTGGTCATTCAGTAAATCCTTTCATGGTCAGTGCATATCTATTTACTATGTTCTAGTGGGTCATTATTCTTGGGGGAAATTCATCTTACAAACTGCCTCTGGGCACATTCTCCATTATCAATAAAAACCATGATGACTTCATGGAGAAGTGGCAGCTGTGGATGTATGAAGTACACTCTGTGTTATCATTGCTCCTTCCTTTACCATGCACAGTTAGTGTTTCTTTTCAAGCTCTGTGTGATTGGACACAGACCTCATGAGATTGCATGAGCTGGACTACAGTAGGAATTCATCCATGTCTGACTAAATGAAATGACTGCAACGGAGCTCCCTTGGGTTGGAAGTAACTTGTTTTACCGGCTTATTTTGCAGCAAGAAAATATTTAGGGCATAAAATCTGCAATGTGGGTAGGTAGGCAAGTCAGGTAAGAAGGGAGATAGGTAAATAGATATATATATGACCAACTTATTGAGATATAAATCATGCTATAAAATATACTCATTTAGGCATTATTTATTTACTTATTTGCATTGGAGATTACACCCAGAGTCTCCTGCATGCTAAGCAAGTGCTCTCCCTCCAAACACTTCTAGCCTCAGAATCTCCCCTTCCCCTTCCCCTTCTTTCCCTTTCCCTCTCTCTCTCTCTCTCTCTCTCTCTCTCTCTCTCTCTCTCTCTGAATATTTAACTTTACAAAGGCCAAAAGATGCCATGGAGCTCCTTGCCTACTCTCTTCCACAGTGACGCACAGAGGAACTGAGCTGAGCCGCACAGATGGTCACACAGATGGTCAGTAGCAAAGTGGGGACGGAATGCCCAGTCTGGAGGTTCTAATAAAAATCAACTACTGGTTTGGCTTTTACTCGTAGCAAGTCACCCTCTGGGGGAAAAACACTTCATGTCATAGCCTGTGTATAAGTAACAGCCCTGGGTTCTTGACTAGTTAAAAAGGAACATCTAACTGCTGGCTACAGGGTATAGAAAAGGAAGTGAAGGAGAGGTGCCTTAGGAACAGGGAGCAAAGGAGATTGAAGGGTCCTGTTGAAGGATGGACCGAGAGGGTTTCTTTCCTTCGGTATGAGATGTTGAAGTAATTCCAGTCAGTGTTAGCGTCTAGAAGCTGACAAATACAATTTATAAATGACTTTAAAAACTGCTTCCTCCAGCAACAAGAGCTGTTATTGTCACATTGATTTTAAAATTAAATGCTATAGAATTTTTTTGCTTTAATGAGAAGGCAGATCCAACTGGTAAACAAAGTAATGATTAAAGCAATTAAAAGAGGAAAAACGAGAAGCAAAGCAACAATATTACTAATCCTCAGCCAAAATAGGCAGGTTTTGGCTAGTATACTAAAAAGATGCATGCTCATATTTTAGGATGCAATATAGTATATTTGATATCATTGAGAGAATTATTGAGAAGCAGTGGCCACTATGAATAGGCCGCCCTTCTGTAAGCCTGGAAAAAGTCAATTAGTAATGTCATTTGTTTAAAAATCTGTCTGCACCTGGTTCTCATTTGTCCTCCAGCTGAGAAACCAAAGACAGCTTTTTATTGCTTGTGGTCAAACAGCAAGTTCATCTCGCCATGGGACGGTCAAACGGCCAGCCTCCCCCCAGCCTGAGAAGGTTTACTTTTCACTTTCAACTTGTTCATCATCATTAACTCTGAAAACTGTCACATTCCATTTGTGCAATGAAAATTTCCCCACTGGTGACCGTTTGGGTGAAGTTTTTGTAGGTGAAGTCCTAAATCTTGCAGAGCACCTCACACATTCTCAAGGTCATTTGCCTTGTTTCCTTGTTTAATGACAGTTGCCTTGGATTCTGGAATCCTTCGATTTGGATTCTGTGACCTGACTGGCCACTTGAAGAACCCTTTGTGTTTGTTACCCTGAGATAGAAAAGGGTTGGCTCAGGGATTTCTCACATGCAGGTTATTAAAAAAAAAAAATGATGGCATGTGTGCATATGAACACACATCCACAGCCCTCTCTTCCTTTGGACTTTTGCCAATCCGAAACACAAGTTTTATTTACCGGGAAGACCCCAGTAAAAGCCACTGGGCGGGCTCCATTAAAAGCCTGATTTCCTCACCCCAGGAAGCCAGCTTTCCCGGAGAGCCTGCAATAGACAATTGGGGAGATTCCAAAAAGTTTCTGGAAAGGAGAAATAGGCTTCCGTTTCCTTCTGCCATTGGGCTTGGGAAACCTCCTTCTCCTTTGTTTATTATTTCATTTTATCTTCCCCTCCACAGAGGAGTTCTGAATGTTAAGTTCCAATGACTCTGGCACAGGGCCAAATTCCTGACAGGCATTCTACAAATACAAATTTCTGAAAGTGGATGTCAAGTGGCAAGATGGCTAAATTAAGAGGTCATTTGATCCAGCCTTAAGAAAAGCACAGTCTGCTGGGGCAAGTCAAATAAATGCTGTGCCATTTGGCAAGCAAGTCATAGCTAAAACAAGCTCCAGTTATAGGTCCTGATTAAATTTTCAAGGTCAAAACCAGGATACTGTATATGCAGAGGTTTCAGTGCCCCAGTGTTAACACATTTATTAAATCATCTCCAAGGAGGGCCCCTTGATTTCAAATTCTAGCTCTAATTGCAGGCTTCTGAGGCTTAGCCACTGAAATAAAGATTCTCAGCAGATCTGTACTAGACACGATACTTTGGTCCCTTCCAGCGCTCTGCCTCAAAGTATATTGAAATATTTATTGTTGCCAATATCTAGGCTTTAATTGGCTAGCAGAATTAAAAGGTAGGAGAGAAGGCAGAAATACTATAGTAAATCCCAGCCCCCAATTCTTCTAATACCAGACTAGCTCTAAAGGAAGAACAGCCTGCCATTTCATCGCCTGGGTTTACAGCATCACCTTTCACAGACAGAAGTTCTAGCTGGCTATGGTGGTGCACACCTTGAAATCCAGCAATTGGGAGGCAGAGGCAGGCAGATCTCTGAGTTCGAGGCCAGCCTGGACTACATAGTGAGACCTCCCCCACCACGAGCAAAAAAAAAAAAAAAAAGAGAAATAAATAAATTTAAATGTTAGGTAATTTGCTGGAGAGAGGGAATGATTTCCTAGGCAAGGTTTTTTTCATTCGAACACTTACATATATTTCCTGAATTACAAGTGTTTTTTATCCAGTAATTTCTTTAGTCCTTACAATAATTTCAAGAGGTGAGATGGCTTACCCAGGGACCCAGAACTCAAGAACTCTGGGTCTAATCCATTGTACTACACGCCTATCTTTTCTGAGGTCTTCTCAGGATATACAAACCAAATGCCCACTTAGGTGTTGCTTCAAGATGGGCAGATGATATGTAGAGGTGTCTGATGATATGTAGAGGTGTCTGATAAGCATGTTTCATTCACAAGGTAATTTAACAAAAGGAGACCGAGTATCTAAACTTCCCTTTTCCTCTTACACTTCTTTCTTGTTTCCACTTTGTGGAGGTTACTCTTCTGCTGCTGGCTCCTGAGTGAGCTGGCATTCTCTCTCTCTCTCTCTCTCTCTCTCTCTCTCTCTCTCTCACACACACACACACACACACACAGAGCAATTGCTGCCATTCACTGAGCTGTACACAGTTTTGTGATCTGGGCATAAAAGCAGACATCATTTTCTCATTACAGCTAAGTTTTCAGGATGTGCTCCCACTTACTGACCTCCACTAACGGCCTGGGTTTGCGCTCCACTGCAAACCTGAAGTGGCAGAGTTCACAGTAGCTGGTATTTGAGGATGACAGCCAGTGCTCCAGGCAGCTCCGGTGGATTGTCCCCAAGGTCCCCGTGCATTCACATGGAGAGAGCAGATCCTCTTGGCTGCTGCCCTCATGGCAGATCCTGCACATCGGCCGGTCATTGAAGGGGCTACAAGACAAAGAGGGGAGTCTGCTGGTCACTGGGCAGCTACTCACTGCCCTGTGGAGGATCTTTGCTCTGTATCCTATGGTCCTTCCCCAGTGGCAGCCACTCAGAATAAGCACCTTAAGCACCCCTTAAGAATACGTGCCTTAAGCACCCCTTTAAATGTATGTGGGTTTGCATTCACTTTCCTCTGGACATTGGACTCATGATGTCTGGTTATCTCCTTTTTTGTGTGTGTAATATCAGAAGTCATTGGGTCCTAATGACTTGACCTGTTAAATTATTAAAGGTGGACAAATAATGATATGCTAATTCTATCATTTGTTTCTTCATTTATTTGTTGAAATGATTTTAGGTAGAAACCTTATCTTTTACATGGTCACCTAGTGATACAGTACGCATAGGAATGTTAGGATTTCTAATGGTTTTTAGTATTGCTTGTTTTCAGATTAGAGATGTGATCCTTTGGGGGTCTTAAAAGTGATGAGAAATTTGGTATTCTTATGAATTGATAGGTTTAAATATGCCTATGCATTTTAATCATTTACAGTTTCTTTTTCTTTTCTTTTTGTATATGTGTGTGCAGTGTGTGTGTGTGTGAGCATATGTGTATGGGTATATATTCACGTGTGTATATTCTCATGTGTGCACATGCAGAAGCCAAAGTTTGAGGCTAGTTGTCATCCTTGATCACTCTCCACTGTATGTATTGAGGCAGGATCTCACTTGAATTCAGAGCTTGAAGGTAGAACTAGTGTAGCCGGCCAGCTTGCTCAAGGGATTCCCCTGTCTCTACCTCACATGCACTGGGATTACAGGTGGGCTGCCACACCTGCTCAGCTTTTACTTGGGGATCTGAACTTCAGATTCTCATGATTGTATGGCAAGCACTTTACCCACTGGGCCATCTCCCTAACCCCATTTTGTTCTTTTACATTAGAGTATAGTCACTGAACAAAATAATAGGATTAGTTATGACATTTTCAAACATGTATATCATGCATTTAAGTTTTTTTATTTATATTTATTGATTTACCAATTGATTCATTGATTGTGTGTGTGCATGCACATGTGTGTGTGCGTGTGTGTGCATATGTGTGAGTGCACTCAGACCAGGCATGTGTGGAGGTCAGAGAACAACTTATGAGAACAAGTTCTCTCCTTCTACAGTGTGAATTCCAGGGATCAAACTTAGGTTGTCAGACTTGGAGGCAAGAGCCTTTATCTGCTGAGTCATCTTGTTGGCCCCAAACATCCACATCATATATTTTGATCATATGCATTCACCATTAATCTCTCTAGCCCCCTGCTGCGTCAAGATTTTTTACACTTGACATTGGTAGTAAGGCCAGTAGTCCTGGGAATTCCAGAGTACTTGGGCCTCCTATTCTTACCAACATAAAGAAACAGGGGTAGCCAATATCAAAGTAGCCAGGTAGGGCCTAGACCAAAAGTGGCTGAATGTGAGCAAAAAGTTATTTTTGTCTTGAACACAGAAGTTCATACAAACCACCAATAAAAAAAATCATTCATCAGCATTAAAAACAGAAATTCTTTTGAAATGACATCAGTTGCAGTTTCTAGGCAAACTGCATCTTTTGAATCAGGCTAGGACACGTTTGTATACCCAAAGGTTCCTTTCATTTTTCTTTTCAAGACTGCAAGAGAATGAGAGCAGGGAAGTAAGCTGATAACCAAGGCTGAAGTTGCAGACGGAGCGGCACAAAGCCAAGCTGCTCGGCTGCTGTCCTTTGAGCTCCCGGAGGATATGCTCACTCTGGGATACCAAAGCGACGACATGGAAAGCCAGTGGTGGACATGACTGCTGAGGTGGTTCTGTCCAGAGTTCTGCCTTCAACTGTGGGAGCACCACCCCTTCGCATTTCTTGAAAAGGGCAACGGCATGGTTAATGGTCCCCAGCTCTGCAATCCAACTACCTGCACCCCCCTTCAGTTCTGGGACTTACTTTCCAGCTAGCTTTGGGCAAGTAACTTCATCTCCCTGTACTTTGTCTCTAAAATGGGCACAAAGACAGTGACATCTCTATTGTGATCGTGAGGAAGAGGACAGATAGTCTAGAATAGAAGCCTGGATGGAGAGGCCCAGCAGCAAATGCCTACCTAATGCTAGCTAGACTCGCTTGCAGAATAACTCAGGCCAAGGAAAATCACGTAACACAGTCCTCCCCATGTAAGTCGGCAGCCAGTGGAAGCATCAAAATAAGATGGCCTCCTTTTTCGATGGGAGAGGCCATTTCCCTCTATGACTGACATCTTCCTGTGTTACTTGTGTTACTCATTGTTGGGTATTAGAATTAAAAGCATGTCATCATGATATATGGCAACCTTGCCTCCTTGCACATTTTCTCCTTTCTCTCTGCAAGGTCCCCAAAGATGATGCTAATCTAGGTCCACGTCTAATTACTCTTTTCAGTGCTATCTCTGGTCCAGATGGAAACATCTATGGAAAAGCTGCTGGTTCCCAAAGGCTTTTTCGGGAATAATTGTGAGAATGAGTGAAGGCCAGAAGCAGAAAGGATCCTCCTTTCACTTGCCCTGAAGGTACACTCATGCTCTGGAGAGAGGAGAGGAAGGAAGGCAACAGCTGGCTCTTTGCTCTTGGCTTCCTTTGTTCACTTTGAGCCATAGGCAGGTAAAACTGCAGGCTTTTGGTCTGCAGCTAGCTCTGTGTGGCCTGAGTGGGTTAAAAGACCAGATAGTCAGACACACATAGATCCAGGATTCAGTCACTTCAAGCAGCCTGCTCTTCTTGATTAAGCAGGATGACTAATGCCTACAGGGTGACTGGTGCACACACGACCACCCAACCTCAGTTCACAGAGGGCCAGTGAGTGACACTCATCACCACATTATGTTCTGAGTCCTAACGAACTGTTGGGAGTTCTCCAAGAACTAGAAAATATACAGTACATAGTTTTCTATTTCTTTCCTTTGTGATGGCCACACAGATTTTAAATAGAAAGTTTATGGTCAGTATGTGTGGGTGTGACTCCATGTCTAAGGGCTGCTGGCCCAGGCTGTGGTGTGTCTTGCTGCAGGTACACACATGGACCTATGGGCTTGTGTCTTTACCAGAGAGGTTGATGGATCACTCAACACTCAAACCCAGGAAAGTAGCCAAAGCATGAGCCTAAATCTCAGAGTTCGAAGTACCTGCTTACTCTTTTAGAAAGAAAACTGGAGGATCCCAGGTGCATCCATTAGCATGACAGCCTGCAGCTCCCAATCTGCCACCAGGCAACAGCAGTGTAAGAGGAGACCCCCAGGGATGAAGTACTGGTCTGAATAAGGGGTCTCTAAGCCATTCAGAGCCCTGTGTGAAACAGGGAGACAAGTTGTGACAGTGACTCTTCATAGGCTGTAATGTATATGAAGGGTCAGGGATGGGTCTATGGAGGGTGAAGGAAAGGACAACAGAAGAGATCCCCACCCGGCAAAAGGAGACACACCCAGAGAGCAGCCCTGGACAGGGTGTCCACTGGGTGACACGGAGCAGCACACATACTGGGAATGCTACTCCAAAGCCAGGCACGGTGGCATCCCAGTACTCCAGAGGCGGAGGGAGAATCAGGAGTTCAAGGCCATCCTTAGCTACATAGTGAGTGTGAAGCCAGCCTAGGCTACATGAGATCTTATCTCAGTCCATTGGTTTGGCTTAGTCACCTGAAATCAGGTGCTTTCATTCTACTCTAAGAAGGGTCTGGCTTTGTTAGCTCCTGGAGACAAGAAGAGAGCATGAACCACAGCTGTGTCATAATAACAAATGTAAAGCAAGCAGCCCCGTGTCTTGTGGCATCTTTCTCCAGCCTGGCTCTCCACAACGGCTTTAAGTGGAAGACTTGACAACATGAATTTTAGCTTTATGCCCTTCCCACTGTAGAAATGGCAACAACAGAACTTGTGTAGTCTTTTTTTGCCCAACACCTCCCCTTCCTGACACAGAGACCTGAACACTAATTACACTCCCTTTAGCATTCTCCACTTGAAGGACAGCTCTCTGGATCAAGCACAGATTCATTTATTTGAACTGTGGTACTACCTCTGGGTGGCAAGAGTTCGCACTACTGTTGACAGCAGCTGCCCGTCCTTGGCTGAAACTTGCATGACATACTGTGGCTGCCCATTCACCAGGCTGCCACAATCCTCCACAGTCTTCACCACAGGCGCAGCTGAGCTGGTGCAGTCTGGAAGGACTTCAGGCAGGTGACTGCAGCGGCTGGTTGTCATGGCAACAGACAGAAATTACTCTGTTAATGGCTTCCACATTCATAGAAGATTTCCATCTAAGAGAGATCAGAAAACCATTTATTTGGCTGGATGGTTAATAGAAAATGGAGAATTATGGGCTACAAACATCAGCGTGTCATTATTCAATATAAATATTACAGTAGTTTAGACATGGTATATTATCTGGTTACCATTTAATCCAAGCATGCTGGCATATGTCTGTATATACACACATACATACACAGGCCACAAGAAATGGCAGCCATGGCTATGAGCAAGACAGCAAGCATAAGCATATATATAAACATTTTCCATGAAGAGACAGAATGATGGCTCTGAAGCCTAGATCCGGAGAGGAGATAAGCAGTTCTCCCATTCTGCACCTGAGAAGCAATAAGTCTTTGTTGACACTCTCTAAAAGTTAGTAGAATCATTATTAAAAGAGTTCACAACTATTTTTTCTTGTAAGCAATTTATTCTCCATGCAGCTTCATTCTGAGATAGCAAGATTAAAAATAGGGAGAAAAAAAGAGAAGGAAAATAAATGAACTTGGCCAAGTAGGGCATTCTGGGGCATTCTTTGCTAAACATGGTTCATTCAATGCTCTCCCTTTCTAACCTCTGCCATATTTGTGTTCCATAATACAATGATCTACTTCATGTGTCCTGAAAATTAACCTCCTTTAGAAAGCTAACCTATCGTAGCCAGTCTTCAACAGTTATTCAGGCAATGATTAGTTCAAGGAGTCTGTTTTTTTCAAACGGGCATTAAAATAAACATATTAGCATTTTTGTTTGTTTATTTGTGTACCATCTAAGAGCCAAAGACACGTGTCCAAAGGTGAGACGACAGGGTGCTACCATTCCCAGGTGGCCCTCCTGTCAGCCTGTTCACCACATGTACCACATGGCCTGAGCTCAGTAGACAGGACTAGTTGACGGACTGAGCTCTTGTCAGTAAGTAGTTAGGGTCGGCAAAGCTGAAGTTCAACTAAATGAAAATCTTGTCTTCCCCCTCTCCAATGCTAAGAGTCTATCTGGGATTCCTCCAGGAGTGATTTCCTTCCAGATATTTGTCTCTGCTTATTACATTTTACTTGATCCCTACAGGTCTGGAAAACATGATCTTTCCAGCTTTCAGAACAGTGTGCATCAGGGCAAGAGTGCAGTGTTTCTTCCAGAAAAACACATGTCAAGCCGGTTTGACTGTCTGAGACAAACAGTCCTGATCCTTATCCCCTCCTTGCTGCTGAGGTGTGTGGCTGACTTCTCTTTCCCATTTTTGTTGCCAGAATCCTCTCAGGGTGGGTGTCTGCTCCCACCTAGCAGCAGGGGGAAGGGCTGGGGATACTGATCCGTGGTTAGGGACTGATGTGGGTAGGGGCTGCCTTGTCCATGCTATTTTACAATATTTAATACTGAAAAATTCAAAGAAATAATGACAGATAGCTGGTATAGGGCATAGTTTTGACTTTAAAAAATAAGATTTGCTGAGGACTGGAGGGCTGGCTCAATGGAAAAAGTGCTTGCTGTGAAAATATGAAGACCAGAGTTTGGACCCCCAGCATCTAAAGCAGGGCATGTGTGGTGGCCATGCCACCTATAATTCCAGGACTCAGGAGGCAGAGACAGGCTGGCGAGTTAGATTAGCCAGAATCAGAGAGTTCCAGGTTCAACAGGAGACCTGCCTCAATAACTACAGTGGAGAGTGATTGAGGAGGACACCTGGTATCAACTTTGGGTATTTACACATACTTTACATACATGTGTATGTATACCCCTACATGTGTACCCACATACACATTAACATATATACATGTTCACACACACATGCAAAAATGGGATTTGTTGCTTTATATTATAAACATAAGAAATATGCATTCTAGAAAGCACAAAGAAAATAAACCCATTCATGATCCCAGTACTCAGAACTACAGTACAGGTTTGGGGTGGGTATCTTTTTGGGTTTTGGCAGAATTGTCAGGTTAGAGATTGTTTGTCACTGGATTCGGGAGACTTTTTTTTTAAACTGAGTTACATAGCCCTCAGGCAAACAAACAAAAGGATGTTAAAAGATGGTCCTCTTCTAAAACTGTGTGTTGCTCCCTTTTCTACCCTACCCTGACAAAACCACATTGACATGATTTTAAATTCTCATAATGCCTCACAGCCACTGAGTGCAGCTTCCTGGCACTGCTCTCTCTCTTCACAAAGCAACCATAGATGAAGAGCCAGGGGTATGTTGGCAGGAAAAGCAGACACGGTGACCTTCTGCTGCATGAAATCATTATGTCTGGGTGCACTCCGAGAATCTATTTTTGGCTTTTGCATAACTTCAGCCCAGAGAACCAAGTGCTCTCTGCCTATGCTTGGTGAACTGGAAGGGGGCGGGGCGGGGTGCACACTGGCCAATGGGAGCCAGGGTAAGCTACCCTATTCAGGCATGGCTACTCACCAGTAACTTAGTGTACGCTCTCATTAAAGAAGCAGTCCTAAATGTATGATTTAAATCCACAATAAAATGTCCTTAAAATCTTCTAGAAGCAGTTTCTCTTGAACTCATTTTACATGTATAATTTTGCTTCTGAATGTACACTTTACTGCACTTCTGACAGGCAAAGGGATGTTATCAGTCACCTAGTCAATCTATTCCCTTTGCAGTGGGTGTTGGGCATTGAGTTCAGCAGGCAGGGACACAAGGCACCTCTACCTACCCTCTCCAGCAGGCCCTGGTTCCTTCTCTTGTTCCACTTCCATAGAGCCCAGGTCCAATAAGCCCACACTCAACTTAGGAGAAAACAGAAGTGACATTCCAGTCCGGGACTCCCTGAAGAATACACTAGCATGTCTGCTGTATACCACAGAAGAATTTTGAGATTTGAAGACTGCCATCCCAGGGGTCGAGGTGAGACATGGTGGACAGGAGCAGGCCTGCCAAGTGGCGTGCATACCATGTTGTACCTGGGGCAGTGACAAATGGCCTACTGCATTTCCCTGTTGTGGTCAGTGTTTTCTGGAAAAAGAGCAGGCTGCTGCCTTGGATGCTCACAGGAGCTGAGGTGTTGGTTTGCAGCCTAGCACTGGTTTCCCACTGATCTGTGTGCAAAATTTCCAGCACCGCTTCTATTGCTTTCTTAGCACCCCCAGTGCACTTTTCTATGGGGAAGTAGCTTCCCAATCCATTCAAGAAGTCTCTTGTCTTGGATCTCTCAGGACAGAAACTAAGTGCTGGGAGAGAGCTGTGCATGTATAAACTGAAATCTCAAACTGCGCTGGTAGGACAGGTCCTTTGTTGGCTGGGCTTGACGCCTGTACAATACCATTCTCAGGTTGAGAGTAAAATATAATTTGGCACCGGACACAGTGGGAAGTGCGTGAGTAGGTGCACAAGAGGGAGACAGTGAAAACGGAGGGGCGGCTAAACAAATGAAAGCTTGATTAGAGAACTGTTAAAATAAAAAGACTTGTCTGTTAAACTGTGATCCCTGCAAAGGACAAAGTACAGGTTTTACAGAAGCAGGAGACCCCAGGCTGTAGCTAATCACTGCAGAGCTTCTGGAACAGTCTGCTATTGGTAAGTGATTTCCATGGGAACGTAGCTGGCATCATGAGGGCACATTCTCAGGACATGGGGGAAGGGAAGGAAAGAATTGAAAAAGCACATCCTACTCATTTCTGCTGCCAGTGCCTGAGCAACCCCCAGGGCTCCATGAGGATCACAAAGTTAAAAAAAACAAAACAAAACAAACAAACAAACAAACAAAAACCTGTTCTTAAGAGGCATAGCACCCACCAGGGGTGTTCAACCTTAGGACATTGCTTAACATGATTGAACTCAGGTCATCAGGCTTGTTGTCGCCTACAATGTGTTGGGCTATGTTCTTGGCTATGCTGGGATACATGTGGCCTCTGGGCAGTAGGTTGAGTCCTAAACCTTTGCCTTGGCTCAACACTCATTAGGATAAGTGATGAAGATAGGACTCAGCCTCTCAAACTTCCCTGATATTTCTTACCTATTTGAAATTTGTGTACTTACATTTCCTCCACCTTACCTGGTGGTTTGTAAGGCTTAAAACTAATCAGTTTTTCATTGCTGCAACACAATACTCAAGGTTGGGTAACAGAAGGAAAAGGGGTTCATTTAGTTCAAAGTTTTAGAGACTGAAACTCTAGACCAAATGGCACTAGTTCTCACAACAACCTCCCTGACAGCATCACATCATGGTGAGCAGCATCATGGTAGGTGTTTCTGCAAGAGGAAGTGATCACATAGTGAGACAGGAAAACAGATCTTTCGGGGGTTAAGGTTGCTTTAAACAAGGCAAAAACTCTTACTATGGGGCAGATGGCTCAGAGGGAAAAGTGTTTGTCCTACAAGCCTGATGACCTGACTTGGATCTTGGAAACCGTAAAAAGTTTGGATGCAGTGGTGTGCACCTGTAATTCCTGCACTCTTAGGGCAAATGGGACAGAAGAGAATTTCCTGGACGCTCAGGGAGTAGCTAGCCTGGAGTATGTGGTGCAACAACAAAAACAAGAGACACTGCCTTAAAGTGGAAGGAGAGAATCAGTTCCGGAAGAGTTGTCCTCTGACCACCAAATGCATGGTGTGGCACGCGCGACACACATGGAAAAACAAAACATAACTTCTCACTCTCATGGGAACTACTGGTATTCCACAAAGACTCCCTTGATTTTTGAGGGCTAGAGAAATGGCTCAGTGGTTAAGAGCACTGGCTGCTCTTGCAGAGGACTGGAGCTCAATTCCCAACACCCACTTGGTGGCTAACAATTGTCTGTAATTCCAGTTCCAGGGGATTTGAAACCTTCTTCTGATCTCCATGGGCACTGCACAACATGGTGCGCTTACATGCATGCAGGTAATACACTCATATACATAAAATAAAAATAATAAGATATCAAAAATAATAACTTAATCTGGGGCTAGAGAGGTGGCTCAGTGGTTAAGAACTCTGGCTGCTCTTGCAGAGGATCTAGTTTCAATTCCCAGCATCCACGCGGCAGCTAACAACCATCGGTAACTCCAGTTCCAAGG